ACATGGTTAATCTTTAATGTCTTGCCGATGTCACAGTATTTTTTTGGTATTTTTTAAAAAATTTTTTGACGGTCAAAAGAGCCGTAGAAAAACGTAAGGAAAAAAAGTAGAAAGAGAGAGTAGAGAGAGATAGTAAAGGGCAAAAACGTAATTGGAGGGGGGCGGTGACTAGTAAAAGGGGGGCGGTAAATAGCAATCCACATGATTTATCATTTGAAACGCAATTTCGAAAACCATAAGGTCCAGGAATGTATTTAAACTTTTTAGATTATTTCAGTGCATCTATAGACCAATGTTTTGAGACCCGGACCGGCCTGCCGGGTCAACCTGGGGCCGGGACCGTTTCGGGTGGCTTGTTTGGACCGAGTAGCAAGAGACCCGGTCAAAACCAGGTCGACCCAGCCTTGACTTGGTTGGATCAACTTGGTTTGACCCAGTCATTAATTTTTATATTTTTTATTTTTGTTCACCTTTATATTTTTAAAAATTAATTTATGTATATATATATTTATGCAGCAACAACAGCAACATAGCTTTTTTGTCCCAAGCAAGTTGGGGTAAGCTAGAGATGAAACTTAAGTGAACCAATGGTAAGACAAACACAAAAATGGCTCAAAACAAAAGGAAGATAATAGAGCAAAAGAGAAATAAGCAAAAGTCACGGTTCTGACACGTTGATCGCTAGCCTTTAAGTGCTCCTATCCACCGTTAAATCTTTGGGAGATATTTCAATCTTTAAGGTCTCTCTTAACCGACTCTTCCGAAATGAGTTTAGGCCGACCTCTACCTCTCTTTATATCATCGACCCGCTGTAGAACTCACCTACGCACCTGTGCATCAGGAGGCCTCCGTTGGACATGTCCGAACCACCTCAATCGATGTTGAACCAATTTCTCCTCAATTGGAGCCACCCCGACCCTATCTCGAATATCCTCGTTCCGGATTCTATCCCTTCTTGTGTGCCCGCAAAACCAACGCAACATATGCATCTCTGCTGCACTTAGTTGTTGGACATGTTGCCTTTTTGTAGGCCAACATTCAGCACCGTATAGCATCGCTGGGCGAATCGCCGTCCTATAGAACTTACCTTTTAGCCTTTGTGGCACCCTCTTATCACAGAGAACGCCCGAAGCTTGACGTCATTTCAACCAACCGGCTGCAATTCTATGCCTAACATCTTCATCAATGTCGTCATCCTTTTGTAGCATCGATCCTAAATACCGAAAAGTCTCCTTCTTGGCCACCACTTGCCCGTCAAGGCTAACGTCACCATCATCATGTGTAGCCATGCTGAAAGCGCACGTCATGTACTCGGTCTTCGTCCTACTAAGTCTGAAGCCTTTCGACTCTAACGTGTCCTTCCACAGCTCTAACTTCTTATTTACCCCTGCCCTACTCTCGTCAACTAGCACCACATCATCAGCAAAGAGCATACACGAAGGGATATCACCTTGTATGTCCCTTGTGGCCTCATCCATCACCAAGACAAATAAATAAGGGCTCAATGTTGACCCTTGGTGTAGTCCTATTTTAATTGGGAAGTCGCTGGTATCGCCCCCACATGTTCAGACACGTCATCGCATCCTTGTACATAACCTTGATGAGGGTAATGTACTTAGATAGGACTTTGTGCTTTTCTAAGGCCCACCACATGACATTTTTTGGTACTCTGTCACAAGCCTTCTCAAGGTCTATAAAGACCATGTGCAAGTCTTTCTTTTGGTCCCTATATATCTCCATCAGCTGTCGTATTAGGAGAATCGCCTCTATTGTCGACCTTCCAAGCATAAACCCAAATTGGTTCTGGGTCACACTCGTCGCTTGTCGTAGGCGATGCTCGATAACCCTCTCCCAGAGCTTCATCGTATGGCTCATCAACTTAATCCCACGGTAGTTACCACAGCTTTTAACATCTCCCTTGTTCTTGAAGATCGGTACTAAAGTACTTCTCCTCCATTCATCAGGCATCTTGTTTGACCGAAAAATGAGGTTAAAAAGCTTAGTTAGCCATACTAACGCTCTGGCGCCCAGGCATCTCCACACCTCAACGGGGATACCATCAGTGCCCATTGCTTTACCTCCCTTCATCCTCTTCATAGCCTCTTCGAAGTACTTTCGCCATCTGTCCTTGATCTTCCCATCCTTCATCAGTGGCCTATCCGACCCATCCTTGATGCATTTGATTTGGTTGATGTCCTTTATTTTCCTCTCCCGAATCCTCGTCATTCTATAAATGTCCTTCTCCCCCTCATTCGTGCCTAGGCGCTGATAAAATCATCATAGGTCTGACCCTTCGCTACACTCACGGCACGCTTTGCAGCCCTCCTCGCTATTTTATAGCTCTCAATGTTGGTTGCACTCTTGTCAAGGTGGAGACGCTTGAAACACTCCTTCTTCTCCTGAATAGCTCTTTGCACCTCGTCATTCCACCACCAAGTGTCTTTCGTTTACTGCTTGTCTCCTCTACTCACACCAAGTACTTCTGCAGCCACCTTCCGAACACATGTTGCCATCTTTAGCCACATGTCATCTGCATCTTCTCTTTCTTCCGAAGGCCCCTCGCCTGGCATCCTATCGCTAAACGTCTACACTGCTTCCCCTTAAGCTTCCACCACTTCGTTCTCACGATCTTGACACGTTTGTCCAGGTGGACATGTTTCAGAATTGAAAGTCCGCCACCACCAGCTTATGTTGGGGGACAACACACTCCCCAGGTATCACCTTACAATCTACGCAAGCGCGTCTATCCTCCCTTCTTGCAAGGATAAAGTCGACCTGACTTGAGTGCCGTCCACTATGGAAGGTCACTAGGTGAGATTCCCTCTTCCTAAAGAGAGTGTCGTCCAACACACCCTCCCCCTCTTCGTTCCTACTACCTACCAAAACCCTCCGTGCACTCTCTCGAAACCTACATTAGTCGCACCCACATGGCTGTTTAGGTCTCCTCCTACGAAAAGCTTCTCGCTGGCAGGCACCGTACTAACCAAGGTCTCCAGATTCTCCCAAAATTGCCTCTTGGCGCTCTTACTAAGACCTACCTGAGGGGCATAGGCACTGATCACATTCATGGTCAAATCTCCAACTAACAATCGGACTAGGATAATCCGGTCGCCTTGCCTCCTAACATCTACAACTCCATCCTTAAGGCTCCTATCGATCAAGATCCCTACACCATTCCTACTCGATGAAGCCCCAGTGAACCAAACTTGAAGCCAGTATCCTTCACCTCCTTCGCCTTCTGTCCCTTCCATTTAGTCTCCTGGACGCATAGGATATTAACATGCCTCCTAGTAGTTGTATCGACTAGCTCACGTAGCTTACCCGATAGGGACCCTACGTTCCAACTACCTATACGGACCCTAGTTGGTTAGAGTAGCTTCCTTGCCCTTCGCACCCGTCGAGAGAGATGCGAAGACTCTTGCTCATTTTCCACTACACTCGGGCGCCGATGTAGCGCGCCACTAAGGAAATAACGATCCGGTCCTTTTAACACCATGCCAAACCACGACATGGCGCATCACCGAGGGGGGGACGACTCGGCCCTTGACCATTTGACACCATACCCAGGTTCCGGTATGGCGCGTCGGTAAGAGGGTTACGCCCCAACGAATTTCTCATGTGTTTCATCTCCATAGAACGGCTAGGTTTTACGTTAGCTCGCTAAGCCTATCGCAACCCTCCACCTTTACCAGGGTTTGGGACCTGCTATGTTGGGATACCATAGGCGGAGCTATATATATTTATGTGAGAAATATTTATGATATAACTAGTGTATATCCGGTGTGCTGCACGACTCATATTTTAAACCTTTTTTTTAGATTTAATTTTAAAATAATTATTATATTTTTCATATCTCATCTTTTATGGAAATAAAATAAATACAAACAATGAAAAATGTATATTATTAAACACTTCTCTTTATACAATACTTTTTATTTAAGGAATATTATTAAATCTTACGGTTTTGATATTTTTTTTAAATCAATTATCCAATATATGATTGTTAATGTACAAAAAATAATGGAAAGATTCCAGACTTTAAAGTAAAGATATTTTTATTTTTTTTACAAATAAAAATTATCCATTTTTTTTTTTAATTTCAGAAAAATTTGGCAAGTTGTTAGTGAGATAAATCGAGTTATACAAATGATTAATTACTTAAAATATTATACATATTATATTTTAAGATATACAATTATATAAACGTGGATAAAAATATATTTTCATAATTAGTTTGTTAGGAATGTGATTACATGAAAGTTAAGATAAAATAAAATATAACCAAAAAATCTGCTTGTTGTCTTTTTCCTTAAATGTTTGACTTTAAGAATCTAATAAC